TAAAATAGTAAAAATAAAAAGGATTAAAAATAAATATGCATATCTGCAACATTTGGGCATATAATTTGTCAATTACGTAATTTCGATGATTCCTAAATATGAACATTGACATATCTTGAAAATTTTATTTTTTTAATATTGTGCTAATACGAAATAATTTCAAAACAGAAACATGATTTTCTTTCTAGAACTGAGAATCCCTGTAGCGCACTGATGTTTCGGGGTTAAAGACCGGGTGCAGCAGATCTTACGTGTGCTCTGAGACTTCAATTTTCTCTCGTTGTTCCTCTCTCCTTTGCTACCTCTTCTCTTCATCGCCGATCTTTCTGCGCTTTCTCTTTCTCTCGAAAGCATCTCTTTCTTTTTTTTTATATACGAACGTACCCGTGGAACGAAAGACAGTTCATAACGGATCTGACGAATGATTGAAAGAGTCAGTTTTTTTTCTCTCTTTTCCTTGTTTCTTCTTTTTATTTACCTTTACTTGTCTCTCTGGGAGGTTCCCGTGGGATTACTGTATTTAAGGTGATCTCACAACACGCACATGCATTTAAAACTAAATCTCATTTACGAATAAAGTTCAATAAATTCAATGAATTTTAAGAAATAATTACTGTTAATATTTATTGTTTATTAAAAATAAACAATAAATACTATAAATATTACAAAAACAGTATCTATAAATTTATGAAATCTGTAACCTTATAAATATAAAATTTTAAATAAATGTAACTTTTTATTTCTTTTTGATATAGAAATTATAATGTGGAATTTTAATTGATCATAATGCATCTGTTAATATTTTTTGAATGCAGTTTTTAATACAGAAGTTTGGGACATTTTCCATTATACCGGAAATCTCTTCAGGAAATTCTACAGATTATGTAGGGATTGAGTTAAGTTCGAGCAGAAGGCCGAAGGGTAGAAAAGAGAGAGGCGAGAAAAAGATCGATGTGTGTAGATGAATAAAGCGTAATTTTATCTAATTGAAACAAAGGTTACTTTATCTAATGGTTACAATATAATAAATACAAATGAATAATTAGCTTCAACTTGAACAATGTTACATGAACAGATTACCAGACGGGTATATTAGAAGTCTATGGTGGACTTCCACAAGTAATTTAAAACTAAATCTTAAAAAAATAATGCTATGTATTTGTTAAAGAAAATTCGTTTAATATTCTATACATTAATGTTCTCTTTCATAAATAAAAACTCATAGCAATAATGCTAGATGCTAAGGAGGAATGATACATGAAAAAAACATTTTTCTAATTCATAATCACACACATTATCGAAAGAGAAATAACGGTACAATCTCTTTCAAGATCCTGACCTATAGAACGCCTAGAAAAGTTGTCGTCTAGGCTGTTATCTACGACAACGTGATGAATGGTAGATAGTCAAATGAAAAAAAGAGCCTAAAATAATATCATGAACCATGACGAGAAAAGGGCGCCCCGTTTTGCTTGTGCGTGCACGCACGTGCATTATGGCCGGTCGACTAGTTTGTGTAAGTACGACGTGGAAGTCTATTTCGAACGTAGGAAAGCGCGTTCTGTATCCAGATACACAGACACGCATGCTTTGATATCATCAGGATATATGGAGAATAGTGCGCGCACGCGCGCGCGCGCGAGAGAGAGAGAGAGAGAGAGAGAGAGTACAGCATCCCTTCATAAAGCTACGCATCAGAGGTACCCAACCTTATAAATGAGTAGAAGCATACATTTTTTTCCCATTATGTAGCAATTTTATTACAAGAAAAAAAAATACAATTTCAAAAATCCAAAATCGTTATATTAAAACCTGAATATGAATAAAATAGATAATTAAAAATGTTTAATTATTATTACTATTATCATAAGCAACATATTTAGCAAAAGTATGTTGTATTCAATAAATTCGACATATATTATTTATTTACTTCAGGTGAGATATATTTTTAAAATATGTAAATAATATAGACAAATTTATAACAAATAAGTATATTTATATGTACATTGTTTAATATCTACTATATATATTATATATAAATTGCCTTACTTTACTTTCACTTCAAAATTCTTAAACAAAAAGTTTTATGAATGACAATGCGTTGTCATTATATGAATGAACCATCATGATATATAATGAACAACTTATTTCGTTCTTGTTGATCGCTGCAATAGTAGGCAAGTTCTCTGTAGTGGAAGGAAAGGAAATCTTAAGACGACAAGGACCGGTTAGCATTCGCATTTTTCGCAACAACCCGCTAAGCAATTGAACCAAAGAGCCGACTAAACGACTGTTGAGAGTACAGAAAAGGACTCGTGCATGCATTTTATCACCCTCTCTCGAAGAGAGACCGGTCCTCTCTTTCACTTTCTTCTCCTTCACTTCCATTGTACCGAGGAAAGGCTCGAAGTTGAGCACCCCTGTAAATCGGATGCTCGAGCACATCTGGCCCGTGGAAACGCGGGAGTTGAGAGTAAAGTATAAACTATGGGGTGCCACCCCATCTCGTAGGGGCGGGGAACACCCCCAGTGGGTTTCCTCCGCTTCCACCTCATTCCCTTCGTAGGTAATATTACTATACGTATGCGTAGCGCACACGCAATAGAAAGGATAGACGTATTTGTGAGAGAGAAAAGGGAGAGTAGACAAAGAAGATTATTCATCATTTTGGAAGAGACTAAGTGCAGCTAAATAAGATAGACATGGAAGAATTATGATAAGAGCAAATACTAGTTATCGGGAAAAGAGCTAAAAGTCGATGTCTATATATCGAATTTGTTGTCTAGATAAAAATTCTTTTAATTACAGAACACATATATATGTTATATTATTTTTCCATAATCACATTTCTCTCGATTATAGTCTATAGATATTCATGAAAGAAAAAAGAGCATGAAAAGGATATAAAAATTAGATAACATATGTGTGTGTGTATGTGTGTGTGTGTGTGTGTACACACGTATCAGAGGAGAAAAGTTTGCTTACACAGACACACGTGCGTACTAAATCAGATATGAACGCACGTAAAAAAAGATACGATCGAATAAGCCACCATGTATATTCACAGTAACGGAGAAGTCCTATGGAGATGAGTTTTCATGGTGGTCCAGGATCTCCTGCGACAGCCAGAAATGTGTAAAGGGTTGCTAAAAGCTATTCACGGGGCTAATGGCTAATGGAGTGTTCTTAACGCGGGTGCACACCGCACCCTTTCGCCGTTCTTTGGGTCTCGAGAGAAATGCTACTTCAAAGAAAAAATTGCCTAATTGTTTAAAGCAAGGAAATCCTCCCATAATTCTGCGTATCTTCACAATCATCGATCCAACCTCAAATCTACATTACTTCAAGTTAGCAGTCACAGTAATAATCAATCTACGGACTTCTTTTAAATTACAGACGGTTTTTAATTATAAACGTATCTCTTTTGACATATAAAAATAAAAAATTTAAAGTTTCCTAAAAACACCTAGATTAATTCAGAAAATAATTAAAACAATCCTTGCAATAAAATTAAGGCGATAAAGTGATTTAAAAAAAATAAGAAAAACCGACTGCGGATGTCATTCGACCATTAAAAGACCAATTTGGTGAACAATATTCGCTTAGTAATAAATTTTTATTTGCAAAAATGTGGTGAATGTCCTCACGATTGCATCGGAAAATAAATAATAAATTTTATGTTACCACAATTGTTGGCTATTGTTAAAGTTAATAGTAACGTTTAATGTTTTAATGTCATCTACCTCCATTTTCCACTTTTATTCGTAGCACTTTTCGTCATTTATTTATTGCGCAAAAATAAATTTTAGACGAATAACGCGGGATGTCAGACTAATCGGACGTTTCTCTGGCAGTTCCCGGTGCAATACAATTTCCATTAAAATGTGTACACAATAACGGATTACTTTAAAAAATATAATTGGCTTTTAAGCAAAATAATTTTATATAAATTATTAATATATATTAATATTTATATTTATATAAAATACGAATATATTCAAATATATGTATGCATAATATAATATGTTATTGAAGAGAAACTATAATCGATTTATTTTGATAATCATGATAATTAAAATATATTTTATTGTATTTTGTAGAATATAATCAGTCTATAAAATATAATATTATTTGAATACAAACTTTCTTGATTAGAAAATAGTAATTACGACTTGAATTTATATTAGAATATAAAAAATTAATATAATATTATTACATTATGTAGTATCAAATATATATATATTTTCTGTCTACCTGTGATAAAAGTAAAGCTTTTATGTTTTTCCTGTAAAATATGACGATGCTCAAAAAGTTTACAACAACGGGGTGAGAAAGATGAGTTGATGGAACTTACCGAGTTGTGATTGATGTGTTGGTGCCGGAGCCGGTCTGACTTTGTCCGGAGGGCATCTCCTGGTAGCGGCAACGGTCGCGGGCAAGGGTATGCTTGTACCACCCCCAGGACCACCGCCAGCACCGCCAACTCCCGACGACTGTTTGTTATAGGGCGACGGCAATCTGAAATGAAAAGGGATTCTGTTGTCAGCTTAATGTTTCATGGATTTTCGATTTACAATATATACCTATTTTCGTGGAATATATATATATATATTAACAAATTTATAACAAAAAATTTATAACATATAACAAATTTTTCTGTTAAATAATTATAAGAAAATTATTCTGTAAAACATAAATATGTAAGTAACAATGTAATAAAATGTTAAATTCGTAATCAGTAATTTAAATCACGCAATGATTTTTATTGTATCGTGTAATTATTTTTTTCTATTATATTATATTCACTCCATTTAATTGTATGTATTTTCTAAATACCTACTTATCTTTATATTTTTATACATAGATATTTAGATGAGAAAAAATATATTATGAAATATTAAACTATGATAAAAATCTTAATAAAATATAATATAAAACTGATTGATAATTGTAATATAAAATAATTCAATCGCAAATAACATAAATTATTTGTCTTAAATCATTATTTAATTAACAATTCTGTCAGCTAATTCAGTTCAGCGTAAATCAGGAATTAAATATGTACATGATTCCTTTCAACTAGCAAGTTTTTGAT